AGGCCTTCTAGAAGGAACCGGCTTGACATCCTCTTCATCATCATCCATAATCATCTTCCTTCTCCTTTTATTTGGTTTCACATCTTCTTCTTCGTCAGATTGAACTACAGAAGGCCCTCCTCCAATAGTATTCAATCGAACTAACTCATTTTTACTGGGATTAATCTTAGAAGCTTCAGGAAAAACTGAAGATATAGGGTATGTCCAAACATATTTGATATGCCCTTGGTCTCCATTAGTACTATTTTTATCATTTTCATCATGAATGTCTTTATTTGAAGCTTCCTTTTCTGAATCTTCTGTAACAGGAACAAAATCTTTTTCAGCAGGAGCAGATGACAACTTTGAAGCACCTGTTTCTTCTTCTAAAACACCAGAAGAACTATCCATAGGGATCCTTCCCTCAAATTGATCAACTCCTTGACTTCCAATATCTATTAAACATATACACATTACTTAGTAAAATTAAAAATGAAACACAAAAATTTAATAAATACAAACTAATATAAAAGTATACAAATCCTATTAAACATATAAGTAACCTCAATAAAACTTATAAGTAACCCCTATTTAACTTATAAGTAACCCCTATGATACATATAAGTAACCCCTGTAAAAATTTTAAGTAATCCCTATAAAACATATAAGTAACCTTTTAATTTTCAACTATTAACAAAAAAAAAAAAAACACAGTAATACTCAGCAACTCAAAAAGTAATACCTATGAAATTTATAAGTAACTATTATGTGATTAAGTAACCACAAAATAATAAACTATATAAAACACATGAAAAATACTGATACATTGAAAATTTGTCAACAACTTAAAAGATAACAAATATATAACACAACAGTAACACCTATAATGCAATAAGTAATACCTATGACATTTATAAGTAACTATTATGTGATTAATTAACCACAAAATAATAAACTATATAAAACACATGAAAAATACTGATACATTGAAAATTTGTCAACAACTTAAAAGATAACAAATATATAACACAACAGTAACACCTATAATGCAATAAGTAACTCTATTATTAAATAAGTAACACCTACAATGCAATAAGTAATTCTATTACACAATAAACATAAACCTTATCAAGCAATAACCACTTAAAATTAAAAAAAGTTTAAATATATAAGTAAGTCCTATGTAACAAATAAGTAACCACTATGAAACTTATAAGTAATCCCTATAAAACTTATAAGTAATTCATATGAAACATATAAGTAACGCACAAAGTAAATTTTATGTAAATTATAAGTAACTATTATATAATTTATAAGTAACCACAAAACAGTAAACTATAAAACACATGAATTAGACTTTTAAACAGAAAATTTCTCAATAACTTAAAATGTAACCAATATGTAACACAAAAGTAACACCTAGACAACTAATAAATAACAGAACAGGCGCTGAATAAATAATCTCTTTAAATTTCATATATAAGACAAGTAGAACAAAAAAAGGTAAATATTCATAAGAAAAAACCAGAATAACAAATGCAATGAAAAAAAATAAAAAAAAATCATCATCAAGAACTTAATTCAGCAAGAAAAAGGAAAAAAGTAAAAATCAGGGTCTAAAAAATCAAATAGAAGATGAAATTAAACAATAATAACACATGCAATGTTCAAAGTTCACAATTATAGTACAAATTACAGCAAAAATGACAATAAACAGCAATGAACATTATCAAACACATAATTAAACAAGTAAAAGAGGAAAAATAAAATTTAGGGTTAGATCATGAAATTGAACAATAAAATTACTCAACGAAAAGTAAAAATTAGGGTTAATAATCAAATTGAAGTATAAAACTACTGAAACAAACAAAATCACAACAAATTTGAAACAAATATAACAAAAACGTCGGGAAAACAAGAAAATATTAACAACAAAAAAGAAACTAAAACAAAAATAAACGAACATTCAAGACCTTCACAAGTTGTCGATCCTTTTTTGCCGCCACGATGAACAACCTTAATCTTCACCATAATGCAACAATGGAGGACAGAGAAATTGCAGAGCAAATTTAAAGAGAGAGAAAGAGACTAATAAAATGCAGATAAAATTTAAATTACAAATGAAATTTGATGAGAGAGAAAGAGAGCAACGAAAGAAGAAGAAAAAAAAGAAGTTAATAGAGAAGGAGGGAAGTTCAGGCGGTTTCCAATTTGTATTTTTGTATTTAATTATTTTTTTAAAAAATAACGGAATTATAAGAAAACGGGATGAAAATAACGGGCTCCGTTATAATAGCAAATTGGGCCGCGAGAATTGGGCTTATAGTGGCTGGCCACATGGTGTGGTTAGCCACATATAAGACATTGTGTTCATTCAATATTTCAGATGTAAAATCCTTAGTATGGTGGCAATAAGTTTGAATGACTAACCCTCGTGAATCTAAATCAATTTTGCAATAGTCTTATTGAATAAAAAAAAAACATTAGTTTACCGTAAGACCATCTCCAATGGTGAGACTCAACTTTGAGTATTGAAATACAAAATGAGTTGTTTTTTACCTCCAATAGTGATACCCAACTCACTTCTCAATTTAGCAACTCATGTGAAATTTAATTTTCCATGGTGAGACTTTCTAAAGTGTACTAATGTCACTTTCAATTATTGTCCACCAAATCATATTTTAAGTTTTTTTTAGAAAAAAAAATATATAAAATTAAACGTAAATAAAATACAAAACATATTATAATATTGGATAAGGGTCCACACTGTTGTCAAATGAGACTCAAAATTGAGTATTTAAACTTAGCAACTTTCTTTTAGGATTGCTAAATTTAGATACCAATTTATTGGTATCATTTGCAAAAAATACCCTCTCTCTTAAAAAAACTCACCCAAGTCTCACCATTAGAGAGAGTCTAATAGTACAATTAACCCAAATCAATGGTTTGAAGTTGTGGTGGGTCTTAGTGTTTCATAAATCATGATATATATACCACTTCTAATTGAATACATATCACCTTAATTTCTAATTTCTTAGTTTGTAATTTAAAATTGGTTAGAAGATTATTTGAGAAAATCATTGTGTTAGGCCCTGTTCTCTTCACCTTAAAAAAATAATATTAAGTAAAAATAATTTCAGTTCAGTAAAAATAAGTTTAGTTCAGTAAATTTAATTTCAGTTTAGTAAAAATAATTTCAGTTCATTAAAAATAAGTTAAGTTCAGCAAAATTCAGTTTTATTAAAGAAGAATTATAATAGAAAATCAGTAAAAACAATTTCGGTTCAGTAAAATTAATTTAAGTTCAGTAAAAATAATTTAAGTTCAGCAAAACTAATTTCAGTTCAGTTAAAATAATTTCAGTTCAGCAAAATTAAGGTGAAGAGAACGGGGCCTTATTTATACCTTTTTTGTCAAAGTAAATTGTGTATGTGAGTGTTACAAGTTGGATATTATTGATAGTGTCTTAATTCTATTACTATTATGATCGAGTTATTGATTATATTTGTTTCAAACAAGATGATTTTGTTACTGGAAAGAGGAATTAATCTACATAACCACAATTCCACAAAGAGAATTTTGTTCATACTTGGATTTTTATTTAATTAATTAGACAAATCACAAGATATCCTTGTTAAGGTATTAGGTATATACACAATAACACAAGTATCTTACACAGTGAATTAGATGATTGGTTAATTGACTGATTTGGAAAATTTGTCCTATAAATAAATTAACATATATATACTCTACAGTCTAATGTGATTAAAAAAAAAAGACAAATATAGGTATCATTAACCTTTAAAGATCACTCTAAATATGTAAATTATTTATCACGATCAGACCATCCTATCTTAATTTGAAGAAAAGTTTCGAAAATGAGAACGTCTCAAGTCCCAACCATATCTAATTGCACGGGATATATTGGTAGCAACCTTGATAAGCCGGTAAAAGAGTGTTGTGCAGTTTAAGCCCTCATTAATCGGCGAATAAACCATGGTCCTTACCGGCATTACTCTATGCCACGTGGAGAGCTGCTTCTCGTCACGTAGCATGTCTCTCTGGCACGTGGAGAGTTGCTTGGGGCCACGTAGGCACCTGCTGCCTATAAGGTCAGTGTGCCACCTATCTGTATAGGTGGCACCTGCTTGGTTGTGTTTCTATAAATACCCAAGCAAATCCCCATTTCAAAGGTAGAATCTCTCTCTCTAAAAACACTTTCTCTCTCTTCATTCTCTCTTTTCTTTCTCTTTCTTCTCACAAAGGTACTGACTTTAGCATCGGAGTGGTTATTTCCGGATAACCCCCGGGCTAGCTAATCTGTATTGGCTGTGTAGGTGTGCAATTGGACGGTAAACCATTACCAGCCCTCGGACACTCACGGAAGCAGAATTCAGCAGGAACAATTGGCGCTAGAAGGAGGGGGTAGTAATAACTTCTATCGTCCAAAGGAACCTTTAGCAGTCATGGAAGGAGGTAAAGAAGCTACAGTACCGATACCGGAAATTGAAAACTGACAATATGATAGCAATATCCTTAATGCTAATGCGAGTAAAACCGTTAACAACATACTGGAGATCGTGGTCGAAGATGAAACTTATCTCCTTCACAGCAACACAACAAACATACCGATAACGCATGACCGAAATAGAGCGGTGACCCCTGATCCTTTGGAAGGGTTTACCCCGGAGGAATTGGAAATAACGGCTAGGGTTATGCGGGCGATGTCCAAGAAAAGGAAGGAAGCCGAGCTGACGGCGGGTGAAGTACATGGTGATGTACCGGCAAAGCCATTAATTGTGAACCTTGAGAGTCAGTTCAATCAGGCAGGGCAACAACCCCCTTCAAGGACCCAAGACCGAGAGACCATACCGGCTTAACGTCAAATCACACGCGGCACTCGGATAGGGGATTCAGGTTCTTACCGGCATTAGGTTAGCAGTGGGTTGGAAAGGCGGGTCGCCAGAGCAATCACCAGGCCAAGGATATCCCCATTCACGCAAGGGGTACTTGATCAACAGATGGAGAAAATGAAAATGCCATCCTGTACATACGACGGAAAAGGGGACCCCAAGCGGTACGTGGCAGCTTTTGAGAGCCACATGTTGCTCTATACCGACACCGATGCTGTGTGGTGTACGGTTTTTCCTACAACCCTGACTGGAGCAGCCTCGGATTGGTTCTCCAATTTAGAACCAGGGTCTATTGATTGCTTCGAGACCTTGGTGGAGTTATTCACGGGCCAATATATAATTAACAGCGCAAGACAAAGGACATCTAGCGAGCTCATGGCCGTTCAGCAACGGAAGGAGGAGTCGCTTAGGGACTTCATAAGGTGCTTCAATAACGAGGCTAATACCATACCCAAGTTACAGCAAGAAATTGTCGTGATGGCCTTGATGAATGGTTTGGGCGGCAATGACTTTAAAAAATACATGTCGCGAAAGTCCTTCCCCAATTTAGGGGTAGCATTTGCCAAAGCTCACGAGTACATAAAGAGTGAGGAGTTGCTAAAAACAAGTCGTCAAATATCATCAGCAGAGTCCTCCAGAAGGCAGAACGATAATAGCCCAAGCACCCAGATGGGCGGGGTAAACAGGTTGCAGCCGCAAAACCAACAGAGATCTGGAAGGCCGGCAAGAGGCCTGGGACTTTACAACAGTTATACGCAGTTAAATACCCCGAGAGCGGCAATTTACTCGGTCAATCAGAATAAGGAAGACTGGAGTCGGCCGGCACCAATGATAACAAATGGCCGAGATGTAAAGAAATACTGCATGTTTCATAGAGACGTTGGTCATTACACGGAAGAGTGTGTTCAATTGAAAGAGAACATTAAAGATCTTATAAGAAAAGGGCGGATGTCCCAGTATCGAACTCAGGCATGTCCCAGCCGGAAATAAAGTACACAACCCAGGCAAACCGAGTACCAAAAGCAGGGAGATTCATCAATGCAAGATGACATCTATAGACAAAATCATGCGGAAGCATCTAGACAGGGAAGCATCCCGACAGGGCGCAAAATTACAATAGACGTCATTACCGGCGGACCAGTATACGGGGGTTCCGTAAGCGGAGCGAAGAAAAGTTTGTCGGAATGCCGGCACTTAGTGAACGCGCTGAGCGTGGAGGAACGACCTCGACCTTCCCCCATGCAAACAATATCCTTTTCGGAGGCAGATGCTAAGGGAATAGTCTTCCCTCATGATGATCCGTTGGTACTGGTATTGACGGTTAATGGAGAAGATATCAAGCGGGCACTCGTTGATGGTGGAAGCTCCGCCAATATCCTATTTGCTGGAGCTTTTGATGTCATGAGAATTGGCCGAAAATACTTAATGCCGGTGTCTTATCCCGTGATAGGTTTCAACGGGTCAACGGTAAGACCGGAGGGTAGTATAGCTCTTCAGGTTAGAATGGGAGAAGGTCCGGCAGTAAGAGATGTTATGGCGGAGTTTTTGGTGATTGATGTGCCATCCGCCTACAACGCTATTGTCGGTAGGCCTTTAATTCATGACATGCAAGTTGTAGTCTCGACATACCATTTAATGATGGTATATGTGTCCAACGTTGGAACGACAAAGCGCGTACGGGGGAGTCAAACTATGGCAAGAGAGTGTTACGTTTCAGCACTAAAACAATCAAGCCGGAAACATACTTGCGAACAGACACCATCTAAGCGAGAACGAGTTCCCTCTACACACGATTTGGCCATGGAAAATTTCGACACTCGGCCGGTAACTGCGCCACGTCCCTCCCCAGGAGGCGAGACCGTAAAGATCGAGTTGCAGCCTGGGGTCCCCGGAAGGGTAGTGCGCGTTGGATCCGATATGGATGTCGACACGCGCTGCCATTTGGTAGAATTGTTACGAGAAAGCGCTAACGTGTTTGCTTTCTCGGCAGATGAGATGCCTGGAATACATCCTGACGTCATAGTACATAAGTTAAATGTCGACAGGAGAGCAAGACCTGTCCGACAGAAGAAAGGAACTTCTCAACAGAAAAAATAGATGTTATTCAGTCAGAAGTAAACAAGTTGCTAGCGGCAGGGTTTATTGAACCCTGCACATATCCCGAATGGCTAGCAAATGTGGTTATGGTTAAGAAACCGTCAGGGAAGTGGAGAATATGCGTGGATTTTATGGACTTGAACAGAGCTTTCCCGAAAGATTTCTATCCCTTGCTGAGGATAGACAGACTTGTAGATTCCACTTCCGGTCACGCGCTATTGAGTTTCATGGACGCTTTCTCCGGATATCATCAGGTCAGCTTATATGAGCCAGGTCGAACCAAGGCAGCATTCATCACCGACGCCGGGGTTTTCTGTTATAGGGCTATGCCGTTTGGGTTAAGAAATGCAGGGGCCACGTATCAGAAGCTGGTCGACAAGGTATTCGCGAACCAGAAAGGAAGGAATGTAGAAGTGTATGTGGATGATTCAATTGTGAAAAGCCGTTTGGTTACAGATCACGTCGCCGATTTGAGAGAAACTTTTGAAACTCTTCGGCGCTACCGGATGAAGTTGAATCCGGAGAAGTGTGTGTTCGGCGTTCGGTCAGGAAAGTTTCTCGGGTTCATGGTAAGCGAAAGGGGGATAGATGCTAACCCCGATAAGATCGAGGAAATTCTTAGTTTACCAGAACCAAAGTGTATAAAAGATGTACAAAAGCTCACTGGTCGAATGGCTGCATTGACGAGATTTATCAGCAAGTCAGCTGACAAAGCCTTACCGTTCTTCGTGATCTTAAGCCAGAACAAACTGTTTGTATGGGGGAAGGAACAATCCAAGGCGTTACAGGCCGTGAAGAATCACTTGAGGTCCTTACCCACTGTCGCAAGGCCGGAACAAGGAGAAATATTACAGCTGTATATCTCAGCGTCAGCAAAGACGGTAGCAGCAGTGCTCATAGTAGAACGACAAAAAACCCAACTGCCAATTTACTTTGTGAACCACGTCTTAAATGCTGCCGAGAGACGGTATCCGTTAGTGGAGAAAATCGCATACACAGTAGTTGTGGCTGCGCGAAAGTTGCGGCCTTACTTTGATGCACATGCAATTGATATTCTGACGAATCAGCCGTTAGAGAAGTCTTTTCAGAAGATGGAAACATCTGGCCGCCTGCTTAAATGGGCGATTGAATTGTCTGAATACGTTATTACGTATAAACCAAGGGTATCAATCAAAGCCCAAGCCTTGTCTGACTTCATTGTAGAAACATCTTATTATGAAGAAGAGGAGGGTATCGGCACATGGAAGGTATCAGTTGACGGCTCATCTGCTTCAACCGGCTCAGGGGCTGGAGTAATTATGATCTCTCCCCAGGGAGATGTGTTCGAGTATGCTGTCAAGTTCAAATTCAAGGCCTCGAATAATGAGGCAGAGTATGAAGCAGCCTTGGCAGGAATACAGCTATGCATATCTGCGGAAGCAAAGCGTATTGAGATGACAACTGACTCGCAACTGGTGGCAAAACAGTTCAATGGCACTTACGAAACTCGAGAGCCGACCATGACGGCATATCTGGCAAAACTCAAGAGTATAACATCCAATCTGGAATATTTCGAAATTAAATTGGTTCCTCGAGCAATGAACACGCAGGAAGACGCGTTGGCTAAACTTGCAAGTTCAAGCTTTAATGATTTAGAGAGGACGGTAATGGTAGAAATTTTGAAAGAAAAGAGTATTGATGAACAGCTCCCTAAGGATATACATTGTATAAGTGAAGGTCGAGAATGGTATGACGAAATCTTAGCTTACAAAGTACACAACATCCTGCCCACCGATAAGATGGAGGCAAGAAAGATCAAGAAAGACAGCGTCTGGTTTATTATGTTTCGGGGCACATTGTATAAACGGGGGTTTTCGCTACCATTGCGAAGGTGTATAACAGCGTATGAATCGGCAAGGCTAATAGAAGAAATACACGAGGGTGATTGCGGCAATCATGCGGGGGGTCAGTCAATGTCCTTGGAGGCAATGAAACGGGGCTACTATTGGCCGACAATGAACGTAGACACCATGGAGTACATTAAAAAATGTGATAAATGCCAGAAGTATGGGCCGGTAATTAATCAACCCCCAAATTATTTAACACCTATTCTTAACCTAATCCCGTTTGCTCAATGGGGTATGGACATTATCGGGCCGTTCACGTCAACAACGGGTGGCCGTAAGTTTTTTATTGTAGGGATAGACTACTTCACCAAGTGGATAGAAGTGGAACCGGTAGCAAAGATTACAGCAAATGAGGTGAAAAAATTCATCTGGAAGAGCATCTTTACACGGTTCGGGTTGCCGACTGCAATGGTGTTTGATCACGGCTCACAATTTGACTGCAGCCCGGTAAAAAACTTTCTCAGCATATATAAAGTGAAGTTTACGTACGCGGCGGTGTATCACCCGCAATCAAACGGCCAAGCCGAGGCCGCTAACAAGCAGATACTAGGGGCAGTCAAGAAAAAAGTGGAAGGCGCCAAAGGCTTGTGGGCATATCTGATACCTGAGATTTTGTGGGCAAATCGCACGACAACAAGAGAGACTACGGGGGAATCACCTTTTAACCTTTCTTTCGGCTCGGAAGCAGTGGTTCCGGCAGAGGTGGGACTACCTACATTCCGCGTATAACATTTCTGTGAAAGTCAAAATGATTTGCTACTTCGACAGCAATTGGACTTTCTACCGGAAGTAAGGCTGGCGGCTGCCATCAAATCTGTTGCATATAAAAACCGGATGAGTCATGCTTACAATCGGCGCGTCAATTATCGAACCATGGAAGACGGAGACTTAGTTTTGCGTAGAACGGCCGCAACCGGCAGAGGAAACGCAGAAGGAAAGTTTACTGCCACCTGAGAGGGGCCTTATCAAATATACGAAACCTTACGGCAAGGGTCTTATCGGCTAATGACCCTAGAAGGGGTGCCCCTGAAGAATATTTGGAATGCTAGCTAGTGTGCTAAAGAAATATTTCAAGTAAAGTTTAATGTGTTTTTATTTTGTGTATTATAAATCTAGATGAAATCGTACTTACAAGCATTGTAATTTGTTTTAGTACTCGTGAAATACAAATCACTCTACCTACTTTCGATACGATCTGATCACAGCCTAGCTAGCTGATTCAGTCGTTCAAGTGAGGGTAAGAGAATAGAAATGAAATGAAAATGGACCTCAAGGCAAGTTGAAAGAACGGTCTGATCCACTGCCTTTGCTTGGCCTGATAAAGGTTGGATATGTAATCTCGGTATACTTTATATCTGATAGTGAATATCAGTATTACAGAGCTTTTCCACATAATTTATTTTGAAAAATTTTGCCGAAAATCTCGGGGAGTATGGGAAATGGATAATCCTAAAATACCGAGAATGCAATATAAGGTATAAAACCATCAAATAAAAATTTGAGATTTAACAAACAAAGCAAAATAAAGCGCACGATAACGTAAAGATTACAGTGATGCATAAATAACGACAGTAAGAAAGTAAGTGTCGTATGATAAAAGCATAAATAGTTAATCTGACAGCAAAGATATTGTTTTTAAAACAGATACAATAATTATTACATAAATGACCCAAAGACCGATAGCCATCGCCTGACCGCCTACACCACTAGTCTTTCTTGGACTCTGCTACTTTCTCAGCCGCCTTACCGGGCTCCTTGTCAGCTTCATTGCTAGAAGGACCGGCAGATCCATCTTTACCAGCATGAGTGGTAACAGGACTACTAATAAGAGCGTCGTCAAACTCCACGGCCGGTAGTTCACATGGGTCCAAGTTCGTTATTACAGGGTGCGGTGGAGGCTCGTCAAAATATTCAGATTCATAGCTGGTAGGAGAGTGGTTCATTTCCTCGTTAAAAGCCTTCTCGACAGCCTGCCATTTTGCCGAGTCCCACCCTTCAGCTTTGCAC